GGGCCCCTGCGTGAGGGTTGGCGCGGGAGCCGATAGGTGAAATTATCGGCTTGGGTGGGAGTGCCGATCAGCATCATGGTGGCAAAGAACTGGGGGTGGCCTTCATATTTCTCCTGCTTCCTGAGCACAAGCAAAAAATGGTGGCCAAGGCAAGAATGTATAATTATCCAATCTGTTGGTGCAGGGAGGTGCATGTCTGTGGCCAGGAAAACAATCTCTGCCCCGTGAAGGATGTTGATCCGGTGCGTCTGTCTCAGATGTGATACCACCACTTCCACATGGCCTTTCCATTGACAGGAAAACAGAGGGCACGTGCACGGAATCAGCTGAGGGTCATGCACTGTCTCATGAGGATGGTGAGAGTGGAGGCTGCTTTGCTCCGTGGAGGTCTGACCAACTGCATGCCTGTTTGATACATACTGCAAGAAGAAGAGAGAGAGAGAAAAAACACACATAATGAAAGCTGGGGATACCATTCTGGGCACTGACTTGCAAGATATTTCCCAGGCCTGATCCTGGGAGGGCCTGCAAATCTCATTGACATGAATGGAAGCTGAAGGAACTAAGCACCTCTGAGATCAGACAGACCCACCGGGAGCAAGATGTGGACTTATGCAGACAACAAAAGGTGCCAGCAGCTGTTTCATTCTGCAGGGGAAAGATAAACCAGCAGGACTGCAATAAATCATCTTAAATGAAAGTGATGTATGTGTTTTAAAAAGCAGTCGCATTAGTTCAAGGGAAACAAATCTGTGTTTTGCAAAAAACAAGGTGAGCATGGGGCATTTTATGCAGTTATGGCTCTTAGAGCTCCTAATCGGGAAATGCAATATTTATAGCTTTATTACCCTTTAATGAGACACTCTGGCAAACATAGACATTCCCCCTCCTCTGAAATAACATGTTTTATTACACATAATTTGTGAACTGAAAATCCATTTTCATTGTGTTTGATGGCCTTGGTATTTTTCTTTATGAATAAAATACACTCTGCCTAAATCATGCTTCCCCCTCTCTATCTAATGGTGGACACATGACAGATTAAAGCAGCGGCATAAAAGCCCATGAACAGAGACACCTGCTCTTTGAGTCCAATGATTATGTCAAAATTTCAGCTTTTTTCACAAAAAAATGTAAGTTTCTATCCTGGTGGTTGTGACGAAATGCTCAGTTTATGTTTGAATTTAACTGGTGCAGTGACCTCTGCCTCTGTCTGCAGACATCCTGAAACAATAGCTCTGGGGCATATGAATTGTCTCATACATCTCAATGAGGAGATAACTCCAGGATGTACTGCTCTGAGGGGCCCTGTCAACACCTCCTCAGCATAGGAGTATGGGAGTGACAGAGGGAGATGCATGCAGTGGGTATCCAACCCTTCAAAGTTTGCTTATCGCTAAGGGCAGTTTTCTACTTGAAATCCAAGTCATTTCCCCTCTTTTCAGGCAGAAGCTCCAGAAAACGCAACGAAAGACAATGCGCATGCTGCTGCAGAACAAACCATGTGTTGAAATGAACGTGTTGATATAATGTTTTTGATACTTTGTCCAGCAATACTTTTCACCTAGGCTGTGTCTACACTGGCCACATAACCCATAATAGCTATGGAAATGAGAGAAGTCAGAATAGGGAAATGCGCGGGGGATTTAAATATCCCCCGTGGGATTTAAATAAACATGGCCGCCGCTTTTTTCCGGCTTGGGGAAAAGCCGGAAAAGAGCGTCCAGACTGGCGCGATCCTCCGGAATAAAGCCCTATTCCGGAGGATCTCTTATTCCTACTCGCGCATTTCCCTATTCTGACTTCTCTCATTTCCATAGCTATTACGGGTTATGTGGCCAGTGTAGACACAGCCCTAGAGTAGGAAATAACAGTGTGTATCAGAACATCTATCACCAATCTTCTCCTGGTTGTGTCTCTTGTAGAACTAGGAATTTATCAGGCCATTTGGCACATGCTAGTGAATGTCAACATGCTGAGACTTACATATCCCACCCTGCCCCACATTCTGGATGCAGGTCTCCTTCCATTTTTCACAGGTTTAACCAAGCCCAAATCTGTTTCAATGACATAGCAGGTAGATCTGTTATCAGTTTTGGGTTGCTTTGTTTCTGTTTGTGTGCCCTTTGATAAAATTAGAAGCAGTGAACTGTGAGTGTAAACGTTCACAAATTCTTATTTTAAAAATTGTTTCCATATCACTTGAACTCTGTTACCTCAAACATCCTTGGGGGGCGGGAGGGAGCGGAGGGAATCAACTCATATAAATTGCCCTACTCCTTAAATGGTCAGTATTCACTCGAAAGTCCAGGCTTTTCAGACAGTTGAATTTTGATTTGTAACTTCTAAGGTTTCAGTGAGAAGAGGGCAATGTTAAGTGTGCTGCTGTGTAGTTGGTGGCGCTAAGACCCCTTTATTTGACATTTGATACAAAGAATAATGGATCATTTAAACATGTACCAAATATCTAGTACCTGCTTTGGACAATTATTATGCTAAATTACTCTTTTTTTCATTCTCTTTTATGTATTTTGTGAGTTAAAAATCTAAGAATTTAAAATTTCCAACACGACACTGAACCAAAAACTGATAAACAACCAGCATTGCCTGGAAAATAAAGTAGCTCATTATAGACAAATCAAGGTGTCTGCGTTTAGAAGACTGCTTATCACAGAATACTGGAGATGACAGGATCACACTTTATCCCACATTTCTTCCTTCTTCCTATTTGGATGAAAGTTATGGTTAATTTAAACCATCTTTTGGTGAAGGAGGTTATTGCGACAGCAGATCATAAAAGGCCCTTTTAAAAATCTCTGAAATGCTAATTGCTTCATAAAATGAATTCTAATCTCCCCATCTAATACAATGGGTGTGAGCAATTACTTTCACTCAGCAAATTGTTAATGCAACATTAGTGATTATACTAATTAAAACTAATGAACTTTTACTCACATGCTGATAAACCACTCAACAAATTCCAACCATCTATCAGTTTTATTTAACTTCCCTTTTGGAAGACGGATCTTAAATTAACCTCTGGAATAACATTCAAAATTAGGTTTTGAAATGTAAAGCTTTATTAACTGTGTATAATTCCTCTCCATAGATTACCAGAGTCAGAGAAACCATTTCCATTGAGAATGTAATTGAATTTAAAAATGTATTCTCCTAATTTGATAAGTTACACTAGCATGGTGTATAATGGTAGCTCATCCATCTGACTCATAGTCAAGGTAAAAAAAGACATGTCTCTGCAAATATCATGCTATGACAATCATTCTTTAGAGGCTCAGGAGCAGGGTAGATAATTTGTAACATCTTCTGAGCTTTGTCAATATTCCACAAACAAATTATGAATTTCTCAAATGTACTCAGTGTTGGAAAAGATTTGCTGAATTGTTTCAGTGAAGAATGTCAGGCTGGTATCTTGTTTCTGGTCACTTTAGTATGAAATATTGAAACTTCAAAATAGGTTGATTACGTGAAGGTTACATGATATGTTTCTATTCTCTGAGCCCTGGTCTACACTCAAATCTTCTTCTGAATTTATAAGCAGTGCAACCACACGACTAAGCCTGTTATTTCAAAATAATGGGTCACGGAATTTAAACTCTGTACTCCTGCATTTCACAAAGAGTTATGCTAATTCCAAAATAGTAATTTCAAAATAGCATTAGTGTGGATTCTCTGGTGCCACTAATTTGAACGTATTGGCCTCTGAGAGGCCTCCCACAGCTTCCCAGATTGCTTTCTGGGGCTCTAAGGGTATGGCTTGCAGGAGGAGTAACGGTAGTTTGAATTAAGAGTGTTAATTTGAACTACCTAGCCCGTGCCGCATGTAGCTGCGGGCAGGTAGTTCGAGCTACTGGGCATTTAAAAATGGCGGTGCCCAGGAAGATGCAAATGAAGCCCAGGATATGACATTCTTATACACAAATCAGGGAAATGTGGTCTAGATGAAATTACAGTAAGATGGGTGCTCAACTGGTTGAAAGACTGTATTCAAAGTGTAGCTTCCTTCTGGTCTCAAATCAACAAGATGAAATTCAGCAAAGACAAATGCAATATACTACACTTAGGAAAGAAAAATCACATACAAACTAGGAAATAACTGCTTAGGCAGTAGTACCACTGTAAAGGATGTGGAATGATAGTTGATCACAAACTGAACATGAGCCAAAATGTGATGCGATTGCCGCTCCGCCCCCCCCCCCCCCCCAAAAAAAAAGGCCAAATATCAATCTGGGACACAGTAAAAAGAGTGATGTATGAAAGACACAGGAAGTATTTGGTGAGACCTCAGCTAGATGATTGTGTCCAGTTTGGAGCACTGCATTTGAAGAAAGAGGTGGACAAATTGGTGTCTCTCTAGAGGACATCAATAAAAATGACAAGTGGTTTAGAAAACCTGACCTATGAGGAAACATTAAAAAAAAAACAACCCTGCGCATGTTTAGTTTTAAGAAAACTGAGGGGGAACCTTATATATTTAAATATGTGCAGGATTGTTATAAGGAGAACTGCATTGAAGAACAGGTTAGATAGATACTTGCCAAGGACATATAGGCTCATTTGCTCCAACTCTGGTGCAGGAAGCTGGACTTGATGACTCCTTAAAATCACTTGCAGCCCTATAATTCTGATTTTTTTTTTTGTGAAAATGCAGGTTGAATGACAGCCCAGTGCATCTTGATCAATTGGAATTTTACATATAGTGCAGGTAAGAAGCAGACACTGTTCCTTTATGAACACAAATGATGACTTGCTTCCTCTGGCGTGAACTTTGGTGCAGAATTACAGCAGGCTTGGTAGACCAAGCTACGTGCAAGTTAAGGGAAATAAGGTTTTATTTTCGAAACAGGATATGCAAATCACATATTACTCATATATTTCTTCCCAGATAATTAATGATTTCTAGCTCTACAGTCCACAATGCCTGAATGTTGATGCTCATTCATATAATCTCAGGGCTTCACTTTAAATCAAGTATCTCAAACAAGGAACTGATTAAATGTAACCAATTTGCCGCTTGTCCTCCACTCTATTAGCTGTTTATTATAATAAACCTATTGATTATAGATGGAACGCCAATGAAACATCAGGTTATTCTTGGTACATCTCAGCGGTGCTCAGAGTGGAAATTCTGTATCATATATGGAACTTGGGACAATCAAAGAGTTAAAATGTCACTTTTAGTGTTTAATTAAATTCCAGTTAATTTTTAATTGAGGCTCAATGGCTATATTATAAAAATGACAGACCTGTAACACTTCTTAAACTTCAACAAACATTTATCATATAGATATTAAACCTCCACAATAAATACACTTTCCATAAATAGTTTTAAGAGACTGTAGCTTTGGTAAAAGGTATAAGCCCATTTAAATCTTGAGATGATGGGCATAGGCATGCGCAG